AAGATAATTATTAAATATTTTGACAAAAAAATAAAAAACAAATATGTACATTAATTGAAACAATCTTACGAAATATCTGGTTTTACTGTTATGTCATATAATATTTTATTTTGAGGACCTACCAAAATATAAGTGTAAATAGTTAAAAATTTAAATAAAATGGGATACACATATGAATAGTTAAAAATACTAATAATATTTAAATAACTGATCATCAGTTAAGTTATCTAGTATGTCACGCCTCGAGCCTACACCCTAGACGTGGCCGGCACTCGAGAACCATTGTTGGCTCCAAGTGAACCTTTAGTCTGACTTACTTAACTCAACGAAAGACTATATGCATATTTATAAAGATCAATAGCACTATACTCAAATTGAATGATAAAATAACTTAGAATGTTTAAAAGTCAACATTCAACTTGGCCAAAATGGCACCTAAAGTCTTGACATATGAAAGGATAATGTAAAGACAGTTGAACTACTAATTGTCTATGAAGCCTCTAAAACAAAGAGGGATGTCGGGATAGGACCCCCGATCATCCTAACAACTGAAAACTAGAAAGCAAATGATAAAGGAGTCCTCCAGAATGCAAGAAGGCTCACAACTGACTCTGAGTGCTCAACCTGATCAACGAGGCGCTGATGTTGATCATGGTTACTTGCGTCTGCATCATAAGACGATGTAGGTCAACTGGCATCAGTACATTGAATGTACGAGTATGCGAGTTGGAATGCTAAAACACAACTTAAGCTTGAAAAGGATTTGAAAGGAACACTTACTTGGGCTCTTCTCAATTCATGAATAACATAACTCAAAATAAAGCAATGGAACACATGCAATATATGAAAGCTTTTAAAAATAGTAAAATCAACTTAATTCGTTAAAGAAAATGCAATAACAAACTCAATTTTACTCATATAATAAAGTAATATAGTTTATGTGGGAGATTCTCTAACTGACAACCACCACTATGAGCCTAAGTGGTGATACATCGTTTTACCCACGCTACCAGAATTTTCCTATACTTTGTTGTCATATAGAATGCCTTAACTAAGTGGATCCACTAGTCTATGCTAAAAACATCTTAAGGAGTCATCTAAAAAGTATGATCCTTCACTACCTATAATGGCTACATGGTTTATGGAGACTTGAGTTAATATGAACTCGCATCCCCATATTGGTGCTCAATACTACTCCCAAAATATATATACTTAGCTCATATATTTTTAAAACAAACTTTTTTCTTTGGTTTGAGATAATTACTCAAAACTTAGCTTAAAACCTCTCTTAGAATCGGTGTTCCCTTTCTTGCTCAAATGTGAAAACATTTTAAACTCTTGGGAATACTTAGTTCCCTTATAACTTTTTGAGAAATAAACTCAACTCTTTACTCTTTGTTTAACTTGAAACTTAAGCCTTAAAACAAAGTTAAAACGTTTGTGAAAGACTTTAGAAAAACTTTATAAACTTCTCTTGACTTACTTCTTAACTTTTAGACTTGACTCTTAACTTCTCTTGACTTTGATGCTAACTTTCCTTGAATTGGATTATGGATTCAAGGTTCATGATCTCATGTTTATGGATGATTTCATGATGTTTAGATGTACCTTAGAGTGTTGGAATCAACTAGAAAACATAGGTACATTGCTAAGGAACTAGTATGCAAAGGTGGGGGACGAATGAGAATAATTGGTGTTCCTGGCGTTCTGAGAGGCGCGAGGTGGTGCCAACCCTTGAAGATCAGAGACTGACTTGGGGCACTCTGGCTGGCGTGGCGCCCCAGAGGTCAAAGATCAGAGGCCTCTCTTTGGGGCTATGAGGGGCGCGACTCCCCAAGACTTTCCTCAGGTGTTCCCCGACTTTTCTTTTCTGTTTTTCATCTTTAAACCCTCTAATTTCACTTAGTTCTTTCCCCAAACACTTAGAATCATTTATACCTTCAATATATGATGGATGCAACCCGAAATTACACCCAGAAACATCAATCAAATCATCAAGAAACTTCAACAACACAACCCACAATAATTCAAACGAAACCTTCAACAATGTTCATCAAGAACTCAATTTCTAAACTTTGACTTAAATTCGCTGAATTGAATCATGGTTGGCGCGTGGGTGAACTAACCCATCGCTATGTGATCTCACATACCTCGTAGGGATCACCCCTTGACGAATTTCAGAAGCTAAACTCGACGATCTTGACGAATCTTGATTTCTCTTCTCCTTCTCCTCTTTCCTCTTTTCTCTTTTCTCCAAGCCCTAGCGTGAAACTTCAACTTTTCTAAACTAGCTAAAATCTGATTTTACCCCAATTAACTCCTAAAAATGAATTAGAATAATTAGGTAAGGAAAAGACTAAATTACCCTTTCAAAATCCGAATTAGACATTCCTTATTCAAACAGCACAACTTTCAAAGGACATAACTCACTCATACGAACTTGAAATCGCGCAAACTCAGCGGCGTTGGAAAGGTTATTCCAAGAGCCTTCCAACTATATCTGGAAATACACGTAACTCATCATGAGCTAGGAGTTATGGCCGTTTGAAGTTGACCAAAACTCAACTTATTCTAACTTAACAAAATTTCCCGAGTTTCATTCTTTCCAAAAAAGACTATTTCCAATTATTAGCTTCTTCCTAGTTTTTTCAAATTGCGATATGTATAGTACATCCCTAATCACACCGATTACAGTTTGTGCCTCATTTTGATGATTTCTACGTCGAGTCCATTTACGTGCAAGCGCAGTTGGAGCCTCAAGTTGATTGGTCTTTAGAGATTTCGGTAATGGTTGTAGGGAAATAATACGTTCCTATGCCCAAAACTACAATAAATAAAATTTAATATTTTTAGAATACAATTAAATTTAAAAGTGCATATTACTAAAATATAAAAAATAATTTTAAAAAATGTATACCTGCATTAAAGAGAAATCCACAAACTTCATTTGATTATTTCATTGATGCACGATATAAGCAATTATACAAATATGATAATGCGGTTGCTTCTCATGCTTGTGTTGACATTACATTTAAATTTTTCATATCAATCAAAAGGTCCAAATTAAGCTTATTATTAGATTTATCTGGAAATATTGTCCCACCACATAATAATAATAAATATAATCTAAACATTTGTTGCACCTCATGCTCAGTTGAATGATCAGTAATATTAGCTAAACCCTCAATATGCTCAATTAATTTATATGTTAACAGTCTACTAACACCAGAAAAATAATCATTATCTGGTAACCATCCCGTTAATTCAAACATAATTTCTTGTCTACCCAAAACTCCTAAAGTATCAGCGCCATTTAAAACTATATGACTACCATCTATTACCATTCCAAAAAAAAATTCTACATATTGTAAATTTATGGTAGTCTCGCCAGTTCGCATGTGAAAGGTATGTGTTTCTGGACGCCACCTTTCAATTAAAGCAGAAATTAATCCAAAGTCATACGACACACATCCTACATCAAGAATTTCTTTAAACCTACAATTTTCAAAATACTGACGAATGTGAGGATGTATTGGATGATATTTTATATGTTGTCAACATTCAACATCACCGTGACACGTATATAAGTAAGCATTCTCTTTTCTTAAGCTACCGTTTCAAATTCCTTCAGAACAATGATGAACTTGAATTTTTAATACATCATACTCTACTGGACCAGGATGTACGTACATATTTGATGGATGCATATCTATATGCAAAATATAAAATAAATGTTAATGTTACTATAATTATTTAAAGACAAATATGTTCACAATAACATATAAAAGTTAAAAATTAATTCTTAAAATTGAAAATAAAATAAGTCAAAACTTACCTTATAGAGGAAAGACTTTTGAAACAATTTGAAGGGAGAGTTACCGACTGGAAATTATAATTTCACCAATTTATAGAAGAAGTTTGAAGGGAGAGTTAACTATACTTCAACCAATTTATAAAAAAGTTTTAAATGAAACGTGTGAACTTTTCTATTTTTTAGGCATGCATGTGAGTTGGATTTATTTTTTTAATATGACATGTGAATATTTGAACAATTAATTAAAAAAATTGAAAAGAAATTTCGCTGCTTGTCAGTGATTTGAAAAAATAAATAAATACGATTTAATTTTTTTTTAATAATATCGCTGCCAAAGCGATTTAAAAAATATATTTATTTACTTAAATCGCTACCTTCTTTTTTAAAAAAAAATTCCCACCAAAATCGCTGCCAATTGTATTAAAACCGTTGCCTTGGCAGCGATTTTATTTTTTTAAAAAAATATTTTTCCACTAAACTCCCTGCCTTGGCAACGATTTTAGTAAAATAAAAAAAAAATTAAAAATCGCTGCCTTGGTAGGATTTTTTTAAAAAATCTTTTCTAAAATTGCTACGTATGGAACGATTTTCTATCTAATTTTAATTTTATTTGGACAAAATCGCTGGTACGTCAGCGATTTTTATCTTTTAATGGAGTAACGGTGTGAAAATAAAATCGCTACATCAGGAGCGATGTTGCCTTTTTGGTTAAAAAAAAAAAGTTGTGCTCTTTAAAATTTTTGTCAATTTTTTTTGGTCTTTAAGCTCCGGACTTCTATTTTCTTCAACTATTCAGCTGCTCGAATAGTTTTGAATAATGTGTTGTTCATCAACTATCCATTTTGTCAAAACATGTCTTGTTCATCAACTATATAATTCCTGAAATGGGTTCGAAACAATAGAAATCCCTTGTTTCTCAGCAATTTGTTGATTAGTGGCTGCAACAGTTCCACTGTATCCATGTTGTTAAAAAAGAAGCAAGATGAAAAATTCGTACCAATTGGAAGTGATTTTTTTGTGTGTTTAGGAAACGAAGGAAGAGTTGAGATTGTTGGGAAGGAGAAAAGAAACAAGTTTATACATCTATATCTAGTAATAAAGTACTCCATAATCAATCTATTTTAGGTAATAACAAGTATGATGGAATGGTGAAATGTTCCTAATTTTCTCAGATACAGTTTGAGATAAACATGACTCCTCTTATTGTCCGTGTACAGCTATTGAGATATCCAGTGGTTCTCCAGGAATAGGTTCTAGTACCTTTGCATCTGGTAGTTCCTTTGACAAAAGTTGCTGCCACAAAGAAACAAGTTGCAAATGCATTTAACAACAATGATAACTTCATGATTAGTAAACTGAAATTAACAGAATCGAGTCTTCTTGCTGAGAAATTTTAATGATATTGACTAACTTCTTCTTTGTTCAAGTACAAAGAGGTGCAGAAAGAGAAAACAAGAAAAAATGTAAGACTCAATGAGTTTGTAAAAAATTAGTCCTCCATTCTCCTGTACAACTTAGAGTTACAAGTTAAGAATTATTGCCTACCTATTACTTTCTCTTTTAGTAGAAATACAAAAAGCACCAAGAAGCCAGCAGTGAAGTTTCTGTAAGATGAAGTAATTCCAAGCTAGGAAAAGAAAACACATAATGTCTAGCTCACCCTTGATGATTAATGGATAACACAGCTAAATATGCATAGGATGAAGTTACAATAAAGTACCTTGAATGATTCAATTGTTCCTTCAGATTTTACAATACTAGCGAGAAGCCCTTTGCTGTCGAGGTCACCATTCTTCATCGGCACAACAAACCTATATAAGTAAAGCATAATTACTTACTGGATTAATTTCATTGTTTCTGGAGAAACTAATAAAAATAAAGTTAAAGGCACATGAGAATTTTTCAACTTCAACTCACAAGCCAACATTACATACTTGGCAGAAAGGCATTTTGCAAGTTGAACTGCATCTTCTTGTCCGGAAACCAATGTAAAATTTGGTAGAAGTTGCTTTATGACAGGAGTGATAACAATGTCTGCCTTGTCTTTCTCTAAGAAGGTCTTGTTATAGACACAGTGGGGTTCATAGTAGAGAGTAAGAGCACCTTTTGGAGAAGTGACAATATATCTGGGAATACATTATTATAGAGTTGAGTGCAAAGTAACAGTTATCATTGATATGGAGTGGAACGAACAATAATGTGTAATCAAATCTACCCATTCTCAGGTCGCTTCCAAGGAGGTCCAAGAACTGGCCCTGCAGTAGCCTCAATTTTAACCTGGAAGCCATTGCTCACTTCAATCTCAGAATCCTGGCCAGGTTCCAAGTAGATGACCTGAAAGTTTTAAGTTTTCATTAAGAGTCTGGAATTCCTTTTACACAAGTGTTAACTCATTATGGAACCTAATATTTTGTCAGCCAAACCTATCCCCATCCTATATTTGTTACTCAAGATTTTCCAAAATCATCTCCCCTTTTTTAGTTTCCCATAGAAATGACAGTAAATAAGGAAAAGAAGATTGAACTCCAATCAGATAATAAGTAACATAAGAGGAGATATTCCTTTGTAAAATCATAAACTTTATTGAATGTTCACATTCTCTTTTTGTGAAACTGATTAACCATCATATAATTCATGAAAAGAAGTCTTGTGCATTCTGTCTCAAACCGAAGCATTTATAGAGTTTCTCCTGATACATGAGGAATTGAGGAGACATTCATTCCTTTATCTAGCAAGCTTGACCAGTCTTTTTTCTATTGTAGTCCAAGTAAAAAATACCATTTTTAGCAAAAAGACAGCTAGTTACAAATAGCTTTAATATGAAGTGAGCAGTAAGGATTTTGTCATAATTATTATGAAAAAAAGCTAATTAACTCACATTGGTGAAAAGAGGATCAAGCAGTGTCTTAGCATTTGGAGTAGCTATAACAGTGAGGTTTGGGAACTTGCGGGAGAGAGGCTTTAATGTGTTGAGATGGCAATGATCATCAAGGCTTTGTGTAATGAGTAAGCAGTGTATTAATGGAAGGTCATCAATCTGCACATACATAAGAAATATGAAGATATAATAATATATAACAGGGGAAAAATGGGTGATAGATACAATTAGTACCTGAAAATTCTTGACAACTTTTTTGGCAGCATCATATAACCAAGGAATTCCAAAATCCAAGTTACCCACCAAGATTGGATCAACCAGAATTTTGATTCCTCCCACTTCCCACAACCAGCTATTCCCCTAAATAATAAATAATAAATAAATAAATAAATAATAAATAATACTCCGGATGGATGAAGATATATAGAAAATGCACCTCCAAGTAAGTTAATCTGAAGGTATCCTCAGACTCCTCCACATCTTTCTTATAGGCGGCAGCAGAGATGACTGTTGGCCGCAACCAAAGTGAAGATGAAGAAGATATTAAAAAAGGAAACCTGCCAGGTGAGAGCTTGAATTTGGTAACCTTTTCAGTTGCACGGAATGGAAACACTATCTCTTTACTAGGTCTGCAGCTCAAGTAAGGAACAAATTTGCAATCAATAGCCATCACTTCCTCTTCGTTTCACAATTAAACTTCACTTCATCATTATATTTAAACACATATACATAAATGGTTTAGGTTTTGCCATTTGGCATCCCCTATATATTCTCTTTAAATCCTTATCTATAACACCAAATACATTTAATTTCTTGTTTCGGGCCCGTAACTTATTCTATTTATTAGTTTTATAGGGTTATTGAATTTTAATAGCTATAAGTATGATATTTATCAAAAATGACTACAGTTTATGTCTATATCTAGCTGTATTTTTGTATAACTTTTATTATTATTATTATTTATATAGTAATATAATTACAATTCTAATTCACTAAATAAGGTAATTTATGTTACTATATGACAGACAACCCTTTAATTACTTCCTTAAGACTCTCAACTTTCCATTATTAAATTACCAACTAATATTTACCTATTGAAAACATATCCACTCAGATTCCAATTAAATAAACAAAAATGTTGCGATACATTTTACACCATTGTTTTTATTCAGGCGTCATAAAGGTATTCATAGAATTTTGTTTAGTTAAATTTATTTATTATATTTGATGAATTGATTGTATTTGTGAATGAATTTTATTTCTTTCGATTTTAAATAGGTGAACTCCATGACAAGCATAACTTGTATAGTAATTTTGATTTCTATAAATCTACATATGCGGCGCTTCAATCGGACGATTCACGACATAAAATCTTATTTCCTACTAAGAAAAATGTATTATTTATACAGTTAGAATATGACTACTTTGATTTCAAATGGATACAATGATTTATATAACTTAATGTATTAATATATCTAGGATACAAACCATCATCGAACTTAATGTATTAATTAATATATCAAACTTGGTAAAGTATATCAGTTTAGCATACGAGCACGACAATTTAAATACATTTACCTTATGAATACATCTATATAATATACATATGAATACCCTTGTTGTTAAACAAAAATTAGATACATTGGACAACCCAAAAATAAGAACAATAGAACATAACACAATGTGAATGTGAGTATTCAAGTGTATTCAAATATACTTATATACCCTAATCAACCTTTCAAATTTTTCCTCCTGTTTTTGTTGTACAACTAAACCTCAATCTCTTTTTCCTCCTATTTTTATTGTACTACTTTTTTTCACTGCTATCGGAATCAACGAAGGAAGTTCATTAACAATTCATCAAATAAATGTATACCGGAATACTGATTTTTGCCATTATAATGAAAAAAAATCTCCAATCAAAATCCTATGAAAATAGATGAAACATATAGATGTATACAAATATAATCTTCATAAAAACAAGAAAAAAATGCAATTAGAAGATACCTAATGAAGATGAATCACAAAAATCACTCCTGCAATTATGCAAAAGGATCGTGAATCAGAAGGATTTTTGAAAAAAATAATAAAAAAACAAATCGGTGTTATAGAAATATTGAAAGAGAAAATATTGAAGATGGTAAACATAGGGAACAAGCACCGTAAAACATGCCTGGCATAATTGATTAGGCCTGTACTAATTACTTTGCTATTTAATAATTCTTAATATACATATAAAATTGAAAAAAAATGATTATTCATGTATAATTAATTAACTTTGCTATTTAATATTAAAGTGTACACAACAAAAGTAAACTATAGCTATTCATTTTAAATATATATTAATGTTTGCTATATCCTGTAGTTTTCCTATTAGTTATCCGTCCTTTTGGGGAGGTGGAATACTAATGTCACAATAACTACAAAAGCATTCCTTTATACTTCACTTTTCACATTCGTGTATATTCACATTATTTTAATATAATGTATTACGACCTTCACAATTGAAATTACATCAAAATCAAATTTACTTATAAATCACCCGTTTATTCCCCAATCAATATGAGATTCTAACGGACACTAGCAAAATATAACAAACTATTTTACCATTACATAATATATAGTATATACTAGTAACAAACATAAAGACACAAAAGTTGCATGATTACAAGACTCATAGCCAGACAATATATTTCTTCAATCATATAATATATGAAAAGTTGGTCTTTAGACGTTTAAAGTTTTAAATACATAAGTAGTACAAATGAAAAATTGGAAGAACCAGATTGATCTCTCCAGAGATTGTTGAAACACCTTTCTCACCACACCTTACTCAGCATCTGCAAATCTGAATTTGAGTGCACGAAAAACAACCGAGTTTAAGTTCTATATACTGTCGATATAAAACATATTTAGACAACTTATGTCACTTATACATTAATAACTATAGTAAGTTCTTATGAATAAGTATTTGATAAACAGCAGAATCAGTCGCTGATCCTATTTAACGATGGATATGGCTAGATAGCGAGGGATGTAGAATAAAGATAACTTACCCAAGCTCCGAGAGCTTCAAATGAGCTTCAGCATAATCAGCAAAGAATGCATCTTCATCCTGTAGAACAAAGGCATTTTCATCTAATTAGACAAAGAGGATCATCATATAAATGTTATGCAAGGTTAATTTTACAAATGATCATTCAACTTCCAATATATCGCACTCAAGTATGTCTACGCCAGAAAATGGTACGTAAATATGGTCTTGAAAGAACAATCAGAATGTAGTCTACATACTGCAGCATATTTTTCAACGAGAGGACGGAATACTGGATCTTCTAAGAGTGCTTTGTCTGATGGTAGCTGGAGAAGACCTTCTTTTTCTCCACTCAGGAGTTCCCTGACATTCAAAAAAAAGTTACATCATAAGCGTACGAGTTATACCATTATTACAAGCTGTTGAAGTGTGTGACAATCTCATGTAAGTGCTTACGCAATTAGAAAGAGCAAACTTCTATTCAGGAGGCAAATTTAGTTAGGAATCTCTATAGAGGCGTAAACTTACTTGAAATAGGAATTGTCAAAAATCAGAGGGTTGTTGGTCCATGCTCCTTCAAATCCCGAGCGTTCTTTGTGGCACCTTCCCTGATTAAAGAATCAAGAAACCATGATACTGAATAAAATACAACGGAAATGTACATTCTAAAGGCACCATTTTCAAAGAGTAAGTGCAATATTATATCGATTCTTTTTGTGTACTTACCAGAGTGTGACCACCAGATAAAGCAACAATGTCTTTATCACTCAATCCCATGTGTCCAAAAACCTCCCTCAGATGATCTGAGCCTGCAGAAAACGAAAAAAACGCAGCACGATTTTTCAGAGAGACCGTGTAGTTTGAGCTACTTCATCTACTTAAAAGAGTAAAAGAAGCAAGCAGTAACCTTTGTTGGCGTCAGGCAAGCGGCCTTCTGGAGGTGGTTCTATCTTGTCCTGGAAAGTAAACAACGATTGTAATTTTTACTGATGAAATTAATCAGTATAGAAGTTCTAAGTTGCCAATATTTTCCTGATATTTCACAATCAATATTGCATTGTAATATAATCTTCTTGACAACAAGGAGCTAATCCTAGTGATCAAGTTCCTATAGCTCAAGTCCCAATAGTTCAGCTTTCTTACATGCCATAAATTGGCATAATACATAAACATAACCCTTAACTTGGCTTCAATTGACAACTATGACCTATAACTTTGGATGTGCACAAGTAGGCACTTAAACTTGTATAAAATTGAACAAATAGACACATTCATCCTACATGGCAATTTTGTATCCTACATGGCGTCCTACGTGTATTATGCCATTTAGGACACATGTGTCTACTTATTCAATTTTATGCAAGTTTAAGTGTCTACTCGTGCACACTCAAAGTTGGAGGGCATAGTTATCCGTTGAAGCCAAGTTAAGGGTCATGTTTATGTATTATGCCCCATAAATTCAATAAACCGATTCTTTGGAAAGAAGACGAAAAAGGGCATTTTTCATGTCAATCTAGTGAAGGCAGTGTTTCAACTAATGGGAGGAGTAACATTAGTAATTAGTATACACAGATTTTACCCCTACCTCGTGGAGGTAGAGAGGTTGTTTCTGAAAGAAACTCGGCTCAAGTGAAGCAAAACAAAGTAGTAATGAAAAGGAAAAAGGGCAGTGAAGAAAATAGGGAAACTAATAGGAATGCAGTGCAAAGCATTTATATCAGTAAAATACTGAAAAATTTGGGAGTAACTTTTTTTTTTAAAGCTAATAGCAACTACAAACACATGGAAATAGATGAAACTTGTATTGAAGGCTCAAGTGAAGCAAAACAAAGTCATAATGAAAAGGAAAAACGACACCGAAGAAAACATGACAACTAATAGGAAAGAGTGCATAACATTTATTCCACTGATACTGAAAATTTTGGAAGTAACTTTCTATATACTAGCTAACAGTAACTACAAACACACGGAAATAGATGAAACCAAGTATGGAATCGTCAAGTTGGCAATCAAGCAAGAGACATATCATTACGTAATATACAGAGAACATTCTTGCGAGGTGAGAAATGAAAATTCATGTTACTAATTACCTGTCTCCCAGGGTGAAAAGGAATATCAGGGCCTCCCGTAACTTCAACAGCAACTACTCCAGCCAACTTCAGTTTGTAACCAAAGAAAAAGTAACAGTTAGATGAAGTCGCACAAAAAGAAATGATTTTGTCCCGAGGCTTAAATTGCCTTAGAACTTCTATACCTGATAAAAGTCAGCGTAGGAGAGGATTGGGAATTGCTCCTTGATCGGCTCCAAAAGTCGAACAGCAATGTCAAGACCATTGTTAGCTCCATGTTTAAGTTCATCAGGGTGCCTGATTGTTCCAAATGGACCACCAGTTTTGGTTTTGACATCATATGTCCCTGCTGAATGCCATCTGAAACCCAAGTAATCCAACACTTAAGGCATTCATCATGTAAAGAATTCTTAACAATTTACTCGAACCTTTTTTGTTTTGTGTCAACTTTGGACTTCAGCGTCCACACAGTTAAATTCTGGAGAACAAAGCGCATAACGACTAGTACCAGGGACTGAGCCAGACTACGGCAAGGGGGTTCATGGTTGAAGACTATATATATAAGAT